CAAGAACATGACAGAAAATAATAAAGAAAAAAACAGAGATTAACAAAGTAGAGACCAAAAAAACAATAAAGAAAATCAACAAAACCAGAAGTTGGTTCTTTAAATTTTTAAAAAGTTTATTGATCTGAGAGAAAAAGCAGGAGAGGGAGAAACATCAATTTTTGTCATTCCACTTGGTTACTTCTTTTTCTTTAAAGCCTTACCTGAGGATATTTTTTCCATTGAGTTTTTTAGAGAGCGTGGAGGGGAAGAAGAAATGGGGTTAAGAGAGAGAGAGAGAAACATCGATGTGAGAGACACATCGATTAGTTGCCTCTTGCACATGACCCTGCTGGGGCTGAGGATCGAGCCTGCAACCATGGTATGTACTCTTCATCGGGAATTGAACCCAAGATCCTTTGGTCTGAGGGCCAAAGCTCTAACCACTTAGCGGCCCGGCCAGGATTTGGCTGCTTCTTGTGTGTGCCCTGACCTGTGATCAAACCCACAAACTTGGTGTACTGGGATGACACTCTAACCAACCAAGTTACCAGTCAGGGCTCAGAAGTTGGTTCTTTAAAAAGAGCAACAACATTGATAAACCTTTACCTAGACAATGAAAAAAAAAAAAGGTGCAATTAACTAAAATTATAAATTAAAATGGGGACATTACTACCAACTTTACAGACACAAAAGGATTATAAAAGAAAAACTATGAGCAAGTGTACACCAACAAATTAGATCATTTAGATGAAAAAAAGAAGTTCCTAAAAATACACAATATTACCACAACTGACTCAAGAAACATAAAACCTGAACATACCCATAACAAGAGAGCGAATCAATAATGAAAATCTCAAAAAAAGGAAATTCTACCAATCATTTAATTAAGAATTAACATCAATCCTTCTTAAACTCTTTCAAAAAACAGATGAGGAAAGAACAGTTTCTAACTCATTCTGAGGCCAGCATTACCTTGATACCAAATTCTGACAGACATCATTAAAAAATAAATCTACAAAGCAGTATCACTTATGAACACAGATGTAAAAATTCTCAGCAAAATAATCCCAAGAGCATATTAAAAGGTTTATACATTATGACTAAAGTGGGATTTGATCCCAGGAATGCAAGTGTTCAATGTACAAAATGAATCAATTTAATATATCACATTGATTCAAGGAAAGCCAAACATGATCACTTCAACTGATGCAGAAATGCATTTAACAAAATCCAACATCTTTTCATAATAAAAGCACTTAAACTTGGAGTAAAAGGTATGTGGTAAAAAATTAATCTTAATGTAAAGAGAGGTCTGGCTTTGGCCCTCAGTGATAGGTAACCTCTAGCCCCTGAATGTCCTGATAGCAGTGTCTTTGTTTGCCTGGGGTTTTGGCCACAGGAAGTCTAACAATGTGAGACTAAAGGTATTAGTGTAAACCTTAGGAAGGTGGAGACTAAAGGTCCGCCACCAGGAAGGCAGTATGTGATTGAGCAGCCAGGAAAACTCTGGATACCAAAGACTTGGGTGAGCTTTCCTAGCCAGCAAATACTCTGTACTTTTAAACTCTGAGGAGAGAATGACTGGCTGAAATCTCCATGTTTGGACCTCTCTCAGATTATGCCCAATGCATCACCTCCTTTGATTGGTTCAAATTTGTATGCTTTTACTATAATAACACTGTAATCATAAGTACAGTGCTGTTTGGAGCTGAGTCCCTCTAGTGAATTATTAAAACAGAGTAGTTTTAGGGACAAGTTTGTAGCCAGTTGACCTGAAGTGAAGGCAGTCTTGTGGATCTGTACCCTCTGACCGTACAATTTGCATATAATTCCAATGCAAAATGGAACTTCTTTAAAGAGATCAAGGGCATTTATGAAGACCCCACAGCTAATATCATACTCCTAAGATCAAGAACAGGGCACAGATTCCCACTTTGCCACTTCCATTCAACATTTTGTTAGAAGCTTTAGCCAGAGCAACTAGGCAAAAAAAAACAACAACAAAACAAACAAACAAAAAAACTCCAACAAACAAACAACAAAACACAACAAAAAACCCAACCAAAACAAATCGGAAAGAAAAAAGTCAAACAATTGCGCAAATGAGATGATCTTACAAATAGAAAATTGTAAAAAAAAAATAAAAAATCTCCACTATATTTGAATTAAGCAAAGCTACATCAATACACAAAGACCAGCTGTGTTTCTATACACTAGCAATGAACAAATTAAAAACTAAGAAAATAATTTCATTTATACGAGCTTCCAAAATAAAAAATACCTAGAGAAAAATTTAACTAACGAGGTGAAAGACTTGCACACCGAAAACTGTAAAACATTGCTGAGATTTAAGAAGAACTATGTTATAGACCAGTGATGGCGAACCTTTTGAGCTTGGTGTCAGCATTTTGAAAAACCCTAACTTAATTCTGGTGCCGTGTCACATATAGAAATTTTTTGGTATTTGCAACCATAGTAAAACAAAGCCTTATATTTTTGATATTTATTTTATATATTTAAATGCCATTTAACAAAGAAAAATCAACCAAAAAAATGAGTTCGCATGTCACCTGACACGTGTGTCATAGGTTCGCCATCACTGTTATAGACTGAACTGTGTCTCCCCAACCCCAAATTCACATGTGGAAGCCGTAACCCCTGTGTGGCTGTATCTGGATATAGGTCCCGTATGAAGGTAATTAAGTTTTTAAATGAGGTCATAAAGATGGGGCTCTAATCCAAAATAACTGGTGTCTTTGTAAAAAATACCAGAGCTTGTGCACATGCCCCCCAACACCCCCTCTTTGGCACAAGCCAGGAAGAGAGGTATCACCAAAAACTGAATTTGCTGGTCATGCATGGACTTCTAGCCTCCAAAACTGTGAGAAAACAAATTTCTGTTGTTTAAGCCATCCAGTCTATAGTATTTTGTTATGGAGCCCAACTAAGACTAATATAATCTAAGTAAAAGAAAAGACACCCTTGTTGGGGGCCAGATGTAAGCTGGCAAGGTCCTTGCACCTGCAGGGGCTAGCAAGGCTGGGACCCTTACCCACACAGTTTTCCCAGACTTGTTTGGATGGCGATTATCAGTAGAATGGGAGTAACATTTGTAGAATGAGAACAGCCTTTCATAGCTTGCCAAGAAGTCTATAACTATTTACTGAGATATGCTGTACTGAGAACTTGTCCTTCTGCTATGTCTCTCCCTTAGAGATTAAGAGGAACAAAGAATACATTCCTCTTGACAGACCTCCGATTCAGTGTGTTGTGTATAAATAGGATTGTATAGCTAATAAACTCGCTTCAGTTCATCAAGAGAACTGGGGTCCTCCCGACCCCGCTTTCCTGTCTTTCTTTCTTTTCTCAATTCCCACCTCCCTGCCTCAGCCCGGCTCAACCCTGTCAGGCTGGCCCTGACACACCCTGTGTTTATGAGCTGGAATATTAAATATAGCTAAGATGGCAAAATTACCCAATCTTTAGATTCAATGAAATCCTTATTAAAATTCCAATAGCCTTTCCTGCAGAAATGGAAAAGCTGATACTCAAATTCATACAAAATCACAAGGGGTTCTGAATAGTCAAAATGATGTTGAAAAAAAAAGAATAAAGTTAAAGGATTCCCACTTTCCCATTTTAAAACTTACTACAAAGTTACAGCGATCAAAATAATGTGGTACTGGTATAAGGACAGAGACACATAGATCAATGGAAGAGCACTAAGAGTCCAGATAAAACAATATATGGTCAATTTTCAACAAGGGGGCCAAGACCATTCAACTGGGAAACAATAATCCCTTAAATCAAGTGCTGGAACAACTGGATTTCCACAAGCATATTATACATTTAATATATAAAAATCAACTCAAAATGGGTCAAAGACCTAAACATAAGAGCTAAAACTATACAACTCTGAGAAGAAAACCTAAGTGTAAATATTAATGATTTTGCATTTGACAATGGATTCCTATATATGACACCAAAAGAACATACAACGAAAGACAAAATAAACTGAATTTCATGAAAATTAAAAACTTTTGTCAAAGGATATCAAGAAAGTGAAAAGACAACATATAAAATGGGAGAAAATATTTACAAATCACATATCTGATAAGGGCCCAGTATCTGAAATATATAAAGAACCCCTACAACTCAATAATAAAAAGCAAAACAACCTAATTAAAAAATGGGCCAAGGACTTGACTAGAAATTCCTCCCACAAAGGTATGCACATGGCCAACAAGCACATATAAAGATACTCAACATCATTAGTCATTAGGGAAATGCAAATAAAACCACAATAAAATACCAGTTCATATGCACTAGGAGGGTTAGAATAAAAAAATCAGTAAACATTGGCAAAGATTTAAAGAAATTGGATTCTCAGCCATAAATTGTTACTAGGAATGTAAAATGGTGTACCCACTATGGAATACAGTTTGGAGGTTCCTTAGAAAGTTAAATATAGGTTTACCATATGACTCAGCAATTCCATTCCTAGGTAGAATTGAAAACAAGAACTCAAATAAATACTTGTACATGAATGTCCATAGCAGTGTTATCCACAAAGCTAAAACTTAGAAATAACCCAAATGTTTATCCATGAACAAAATGTGGTAAATACATAAAACAGAATATTAGTCATAAAAAAGAATGAACTACTGATACATACTACAACATGGATAACCTTGAAAACGTTATGCTAAGTCAAAGAAGCTGGACACAAAGGTCACATCATTGTACGATTCCAAGCATATAAAATCCAGAAGAGGTAAGTGTATAGTCACAGAAAGCAGACTGGTATGATGCCTGGGGCTGGGAAAGAGGGAATGAGGAGTGACTACTTCATGGGTATGAGGTTTTCTTTTGGAGCAATTGATATGGATGGTGGCTTCACGTTTTGTGAATGTACTAAATGTCACTGAATTGTACACTTTAAGATGATTACTCTTATGTTACATGAATTTCACCCCAATGGATAAAAACAGATTATGATGATAGTAATTTCTACTAACCCGATGAATAATTCCAGCAGAGTGAAGGTGCTTGATTCCACACAGCATCTGATAGAGAAGGTAGGACATTCTTTCATGATCTAGTTCCATCTGAATCACTTGGCAAAGATTTGCATCCATGAGCTCCATGACTATGTAACTTCATGGGTGAAAAAAGATGACAGCTAAAGTGTACAGCAACAATCTAAGAATAAGGCACTAACATAAAATTTTAATTATCACACTTACACATCTTGAAATTCTTCTAGTGATTTCTGTGGTGTGAAAACATTCAAAAGGCCAATTATCTGCAGCAAAAGCAGAGAGATTAAAAAATTAGAAATTGCTACATGGGTTAAAAAAATCCAGTTTAAAATTTTCTAAATCTTATTTTCTAAGCTCAAGTAATTTCTTTTCTTTTGTGTAATTAAAACTTTATGGCCAGGGGCTGGGGATAGAGAGGGAGCCAGAACACAGAGGAACTTCAGGGCAGTGAAAATACTGTGTGATACAATAAAGGTGGACACATGTCATCATACATCTGTCCAAACCCACAGAATGTATCACACCAAGAGTGAACCCCAATGTAAGCTACGGGCTTTTTTTGGGTGATATGGATGTGTCAGTGTAGGTTCACTGCTTGTAACAACTGTACCACTCTGATGGCGATGCTGATAATGGGGGAGGCTACGGGTGGGGGGTTGGGGGGGAGGGAGGGGCGGGAGCAGGAGCTATATGGAAAATTTTTGTACCTTCCACTCAATTTTGCTATGAGCTGAAAACTTTCTTGAAAAAACAAGTCTTTAAAAAATTATAACAGAAGACCTCCACATAATGCATTCCAAAATGAACACTATGCTATACAATCCTCAACATGAATTGAAGGCAAATCTGAAATCTCTTATGTTCGTTTATAGCCAACTCAGAACCTCTATATAATCTCAGCCTTTGCCCCCAAGTTTTTCAGAATTCTGCACCTTCCCAGCTACACTCAGTCCCAGCATATTCCACTGGCCTGTCCACCGGCAGGCTTCTTTCCCACTGTTCTTCTATCCGCCTCTTTTCTCTATCTGTACCTTTCCCAGAGTGACATTACCTATGGCATTTTCTCCAAACATCTCTATGTGGGTAATTTCCAAATATGAACTAAGAGTCCTTGCTTAGCTCATGAGTCTCAGATATACATTGCAACTTCACAAGGAAGTCTCACAAATAATATAAAATTGAACTCGTTATTTGTACTCGAACTCTGTACTTTTCCAGAGTGCCTTCTCTTTTACAATAGAAGACTCAGAGTGATTTTGTTTTACTCGTTTTTCAATATTTGCACTGTAATAAATACTCTGAACAATGTTATCCATTGCATTGTCAGTCTGAACTTCAACCTCTTCTTTTCATTCTTTGTGCTACTACACAGGCTGAGGACTCTAATATCAGAATTCATATAATGACTAACACTAGGTTCCCTAACTTGATACTTTGGCCATACTAAAGTAACCATTTTAAAAACTTTAAATGCCTTTAAACATACTGCTTCATATGCTTGTCATTTACCTACTGAACTTTGTTACCTTCAAGATAGACCTCTTTTTGTAGAGTCTGACAACCCCTTGTCCTTGAGAGAGCTGGATTTTCTCTCTACTTTGTCCCCATAGTGTCTTACATGTTATTATGGCACTTAACACACTGTTGTGTAGTCTTATTTTCACAACAGCCTTGTCCCAGCCACACCAGGATCCTTGTTAGAAAGAGCTGAGCCTTATTCCCTTTATAGGCCTGGCACAGAGAAAGACACCTGGCATACATTTTAAAAATGTTTGCTGACAATTATACTTAGGGGCAAGAATGTTCTTCTAGGCATAAACTTATTATTATTAGGGCAGAATCTATGTTATTCATCTCAGCATAAAGCTTTGCTTAATGAAGGCATTAAAATATTTGTTCAGTAAATAAATTCAGAAAATTTTCAAACCAGAAAGGGTAAAACATATTTATGATAGGGGAAGGTGCTGATAAGAAACATTTAGCTGCTCTAAATGAACTCAAGGCTCCTAGCCAGTTGAACTGCACACTTGGAGACTTGGACAAATACTAACACTGCTCTTACTAAGATCTGAGAAATCCTAGAGTGGACGAGAGGTGTTGAAGATGAAAGGAATACAGAGACAGAAAGGGGACCGGTGTTTGTTCAGAGCTGAGGGGGTGGAAATGGGGAAATGAGAGCCATAGGACATACGGTTTCTTTTTGAGGTAAGGAAAAGTCACACACATCAGTGAGTAAACTAAAAACCACTGACTTATTCAGATTAAATGGATGCATAGTATGCTATCTAAACTGTATCTCAGTAAAGATGTTACAAAAAAGGACTGAAACAGTTCTCTGATTTTTCAAAAGGGAGATTATATCAATCATAAACTAGACAGCCAAACAAAGTCAAGGACTGATGGAGTGTGTGGCACATGACTACTGTGAGGGAAGTAACTGGAGTAGGAGCAGGTGAAATTCATTGAGAAACTTTATCTTCTTTTGTGAATAAAAACACAGTAACAAAGGACAACAGTAGTAAATCAGAGAAATGCATCTTGATATATTATATGAAGAATTAATAAAGGCATTTAAAAAAAAATGTCCCCAATAATAATTCCCATGTAGATAAGATAAAGAATTGGGGAGAGCTAGGTGATTTTTAGTTAGACATGTAATTTTCTCAGCAGACCCAAGGCTGCTAATGAATTAACCAGGGACCAGGAAGGCCTCCTGAGCAGAATGGGGACACGAAGCCAAGTAAAAGTCCGAACAAAGCAAGCAAGCCCCGCAGTCCAGGCAGAGCCAGATTTCACAGGGGAAATTTAATAGGGACAAACAGAAACTACTAGACTTATTCTCCAAAAAAAACCAAAAAAACAACAACAACAAAAAAACCCCAAAAAAACACAGAAAAAAGGGAAAGTAAAAAACAGGAGATGTGATGTGTTAGCAGGCCTGTAATAAAGAGTAACTTGTTTAGCCAATGTAAGTTACGTGGTGAGTGGCTTCCGCACAGGGGAGTATGATGTCCACAGTGAAGAGAAAATGACATGCCCATTCCTCTTGGAGGGTGCATCCAGGCATGCAGTGCTGTGCACTAGGTAAAAGTGTGTTCAAAGATAAGTGAAAAAGAAACTCAATTCTAAAAAAAAAAAAAGAAACTCAAAACCATCTATGAAAAGAGTGGGAAATGCATAATCACATGAATGTAGTTAATACCACTTAAAAATGGGTACGATGCTAGGTTTCATGTTATATGTATTTTACCACACTAAAAACAAACAAACAAAAAAACTAAAGAAGTGACTCGGGAAAGCCAGAGAGGTTGAGAACAATAAAGAGATGATTTGTGCAGAACATGAAAATGTTGAAAAGGCAAAACATCCACCCATCACAGAGTAAAAAAATTCCATTACCATTCCTGTTTCCTTTTATTTACTTTTTTTAAATCCTCACCTGGGGATATGTTTTTATTGTTTTTTTTTTTTTTTTTCTTTAGAGAGAGAGGAAGGGAAGAGAGAGAAACATCTGTGTGAGAAAGAAATATCGATTAGTTGCCTCCCATTCGTGCCCTGACTGGGAATTGAACCTGCAACCTTACAGTGTACGGGACAACACTCTAACCGAACGACCTGGCCAGGACTCCTTATCTTTACTTAACATTTGTTCACTGAACATTTGTTCAGTGCTCCTCTGTGGCAGCACTGTTCTAGGTGGCAAGGTTACTGCACGGACGGATCTGCGCTACCCCCACTACAGGATTGACATGTGCAACCAACTCTGCATGCCTTTCCTTTAGTTGACGGAGCCATCTTTCTGTGCAGCTGCCAGGCTCAAGGGAAGGAGAAGCCGGCCATCTCCTCATTACAAAGCTAAGGCAATGACACCACCTCCGTCAGGAAGCAGGCTACCAGGGGCACAAGCAGCTCTGAGTGCAGGAGGCCACCAGCAATATGCCTGGCTCCCACCTAGAACAAGACTGGCTGACACAACTTCCCTATCACTGACCTTAATCTTCATCTCTGTGCCTTTTCTTAAATGCTAATTTTCCTCTCTGGGAGGTCCACTTCCTCCAACAATCCAATTTTCACCCATTATTTAAGAACTAGAGGCCTGGTGCATGAAATTCGTGCATGGGTAGGGTCCCTAGGCCTGGCCAGCAATCAGGACCGATTGGGGCCTTCTGGCTGCTGGCTGGGGCCTCCCTTCATTCTGCACCGCCCCCTGGTGGTCAGCACATGTCATAGAGAGCAAACGGTCTCCCAATCGAACTTCCGCAGGGACAATTTGCATATTAGGCTTTTATATATATAGATTATCTAGATTCACTCTTCCCCAAAGCCTTTCCATTTCCTTAAGGCTCAGCAATTTCCTCTCCTGAAATCTCAGCATTTGTTTATTTTTCATCCACATGATTTCACAATTAAACTTCTATTAAACTTTGACAGTTAAAATTTATTGTTAGGTCTTTAACTCCTCATGCATTTGTTTTGTCTTCAAATTAACACTTTAAACCCCTAAGTAAGGAGCCTAAATTTTAACTTCCATGAAACTTCCCCTTGGTGACACAGAGGCTTGCACACAGTTAACTCTTAAAATGGAGTAAACTGTGTTGTCTGCAACCAGAATGTGCTGAGCTGACTACATTTTATAAACTCCTTCAGAGAAACACCACAAAACATCTCCGGTCAGGTACTTTAGGTTTAGTCATTCATAAAAATGTTCCTTGCACAATTCAATCCCAGTTTATTTCCTCTCAACATGGAGACATCACTATTAAAATAATTATAAAATATCAGTATGCTTAATGTAAGCTTTAAAAAGTGTAACTATTTGTTCTCAACACGAGTGAAAGTTGTATGTTTAAGTCCTTATAATCATTAGGAAATAGAATTGGAATGTTTTTCTGCTCACTGGCTAAAATGAGGTGACCAGTGAGAATGGCATTACCTACAGAGAAGACAGTGGATGGGGAAATGGTCTGAGGCTACACCCAGTGTCAGTAAACAAAGCTCCAGTGTCCATGTGCAACAGAACGTTTCCTGACCTGGCAGCTGACACAAACTAAAGTGAAGAGGGGATGAAGCCTAAATAGAGTCCTTCGAAAACACCTGCCTCTTTCAAAGTCCTTTTGCTCATGTCTGAAAAGTACACAATCTGAATTTCAGAAGCTGTTTTTCTTTTAATATAGTGAAGTTGAGAAAAAATTCACACTATAGATATATACACCTTCTATTTCTTTAAATATATTTATCATTTTATTTATTTTTTATTGATTTTAGAGCTAGAGAAAGAGAAAGAGAAACTTCAATAGGCTGCTTCTCCTAACATGCGGCTGACCAGGTATCGAACCTGCAACCTGGGTATGTGCCCTGATTGGGATGACGCTCCAACCAACTGAGCCACACTGGCCAGGGTGAAATACAAACCTTTTAAACAATGCTTCAATCCAGAAGAACAATTCAAAACATCTACTATTTTTAAAGTTTTTGATATTCATACATTCATGAACAAATCTTTATTTCATCTACACTTAAGAAACTTTCTAAAATGTCCCACTTACATTTTTGTGATTAACACATTTCATAAGAACCAGCTCTCTGTAAGCTCGCTTAGCATGGGTTTGATTCTGAAATGGCCGGCTTAGCTTCTTGATTGCAACATTTCTTTCAAGAATGGCATCATAAGCTGCACTGTAATAGAAATTAAAAAACAAAAATGTAATAAAAAATCTGCAAAACTGATTTTCTAAAACATGCATTCAGATGCCTCATGTTCTCCAAAGATAAATGCAATTGGACCAGTTTCCAGTCTCTGATGATCACCATGTTTCTTCTATTTATACTGCAGCACATTCCAAACAATGTACAGCACTAACTGCTTCTTACAATGCAAATGGACTCAAGAGACAACTGACTGTGACTGTGAAGACAGATTCTGCTTGTTCACTGGGCTCCTCCGAGATTCACCTATCATACAAACGGGCACTCAATGCACAAATGTTTACTAAGTGTTCAGGTTCAAAAGATAGCTTAACGCCTAAATGAACACTCATCCTGCACCTCCACCAGGGAAAGAAAACAAAGAATACACATGGTCATAAATTCTACTCAAAATACTTTCTGAAGAATTCTACATAAGTGCATCACTTCCATCCTCTTGGATACAAAATAAATACAGAAAGAGGAAGGGACATATAGAGGTATCTATACAAAAGATTATTATATGAAAAGTAAACCTTAAAATTTGTTTTAGAGGGGGAATTAAAAATCAAGGGGTTATAATGATGAATTCCAGATTTCAGGCCATCAGAAGCTGCTTCATAATTGTTAATGAACCACCTAAAATACTGGGAAATAGAACATCATACTCATTACTCTTCATAACTTCCTCTCCCGTGACCAGATGGCATCTGACGCATATTACAGGTAAGAGAAACACAAGCACAAATAAAGGAACATATCTTAAAATTATAGAATATTATAATTAAAAGAAACTTTAAAGTCATTTGGATTTACCACTGCCTGCTATAAGGCCAGAGGTTTGCCCAAGTTAAGTCAGAGAGTTAAAAAGTTAAGATAAGGCTAGAAGACTAAAACATGAAGTTACATCCTTCACATTGGGCCACCTAATAAACTAAAAAAGACTGTTTCTGCTTATGCGATATTTGAAAGTCAGCACACTCCTGATGACAATGGCTCTCACCTAACTGGAAACCTGAATTTGTTTTACAGCTCTCATACCATATCAATATATTGCAGAAATATATGCATTAAAAATTGGTACTGCATAAAGAAACACATCTGTACATTCTATATATACTATAACTATATATATATATATATATATATATATATATATATATATATACACATATATATATATATATGGTAGGGCAAAAGTAGGCTTACAGTTGTTTGTAGGGAAAATAATCACAGTAATTAATAAATAATACAAGAGTAAACTCCATGTTTTGTGTACTCACAATTGTGAACCTACTTTTGCACCAACCCTGTATATACATGCACATACCAAAATATACATAAGTATTACCGTCTTTACTTAGAAAGTGCCATATTTACAGATATATCCCTCCTAAATTAAAAAAAAAAAATTGAACATTAGAGGTCATGCAACATGTTTAGAAATTTTGACTATTTCAGAAACGGAGTCTTCTGAGAAGGAGCCAATGTCTTGTAAACCTAAATCAGACTGTAACACAGTTATAACGGTAGCTTCTGGCAGCACACCAACAGCGCACAAAGGAGAAAGAACACTCCCCAGGAGCAGAGTGAAGTAACTGGGAAACTGTTCATTCAAGGCTAACACTGCACTATATTTTGCCAAATTAAAGCCTCATTTGTTTGCACTCTTTCTATTTCATCAGAAACACTGAACAGAGTTTATCTTTTCTAGTCCTCTTAGACTGCCTATTTAAACAGAGGAAAAAAGCCAACTCTGTAGACACCTTCAGAGTTTGGTTTCATAATAAAAACTGTTTGAATAATTAGACCTTTACATTCCTGAAGATAAAATAAATGTAATCTTTTATATTATTTTGCTCAGGAAAAAAAATTAACCAGTAAATTCATTCTTATTCATTTTTATCTGCTAAATCAAAATAATATTTCAAACTCTCTAAAGTTCAAAAATACCTGAGCAGGTTATACTATTTTATATCCAGGGAAATGAGACTTCTAATTGCTGCCGAGTAAATGTGCACAAATCAGAAACACCTGGGGCCATGGGGTCCCAATCCAGACCCAACTGGGGCCCAAAACAATGCCTTTAAAAAAATTAAGTTCTTCAGTTGATTCTGATAGTGAGTTAAAATTTATTTAATATGTTTGTTTCATAGTAATCTTTTATTAAAGAAGCAAAAAATTGAAGATATTTATTGCTAGGACGGGGCTAAGTTGGCTTAAGGTCCCTTCAAAGGCAATTTTTTCAAAACAGTGGTCCACAAATTTCAAAATACACCCACCAAAGGATAAGTGAAGGTACAGAAACATTACTATATTTTCCAACAATATTAACTAATTTATAAAGAATACAATCCTCACAACTCTAATTTAATAAATTAGGAGAGAAAACAGGCTTAGAAGTATTAATTTGCCATGAGTCCCAAAGCTATTAAATCATAGAGCTAGATTCTGAACCAAGGGCTGCCTTTCAGCATACTTCCCAGGTTGACTTTATCACACTATTTTCCTTATTTTTAATTTGTAGTTGGTTAAATGTAGCTGGTTAGAATGACAACCAGCCAGCCATAAATGCTTTATAAAATGACCCAACTTCTAGTTTTTTTGATATTATATATTACTTCAAGAATACAGAAGAGAATAAATGTTAGTGTTCCCATTACATAAACTTGTTAACTTTAATTTCTTCTATATATATATATATATATAAGCCTAAGCAACCATTCGACAATTCGCTATGATGCACACTGACCACCAGGGGGCATATGCTCAACGTAAAGGCCTTGGAAACATGGAACAGACTGATAAATCTCAGAGGGAAAGGGGGAGAGGGGAGGGCAGGAAGAGATTAACCAAAGATCCTATATGCATACTAGAGGCCTGGTGCTTAGATTTGTGCACCGGTGCGGTCCTTCGGCCTGGCCTGCGGGGATCGGGCCAAAACCGGTTCTCCAACATCCCTTGAGGGGTCCCAAATTGCAAGAGGGCACAGGCCAGGCCAAGGGAATCCACCGGTGCAAAGGGCCTCTAGTCTTACTATAATTGCTCTGATTTAAAAAAAAAAAAATGTTTTTATTGATTTCATAGAGGAAGGGAGAGAGAAAGAGAAATAGAAACATCAATGATCGGCTTCCTCCTGCATGCCCCCTACTGGGGATCGAGCCTGCAACCCCGGCATGTGCCCCAACAGGGAATCGAATTGGGAATCAAACTGCGACCTCCTGGTTCATAGGTTGATGTTCAACCACTGAGCCACGCTGGCCAGGCTGATTTTTAAAAGAAATATATTGTTATAGGTAAAGCCCCCTTCTTTCTCTGTATTCTCAGTTAAGCACTATCCTGAGTTTGCTGTTTATGAATGTTTTCGTACTTTTCTACATACGTATGCACAATAAACATATGGTACTGTTTGCCTATTTTAAACTATATAAAAACTATATATAATGTAAGTATGGTCTGTATCTTGCTTTTAAATTCAATACTACACTTCTGGGATTATCCTTATTGATGCATATAGCTCTAGTTCATTTGAAACGTACAGTATTTCACTGTATGAATACATCACACTTTCCCATTCGCCTGTTGATTGATGCTGTTTTATAAATGGTGCTGCAGAGAACAGCCCTATGCATTTCTTTTCACGTACATGGGCAGGAGTTTTTCTAGAACCGGGAGAATCGCAGGGTCATAAACACATGATTTTTTAATAGATTCTAAAACAAATCCGGTTCAAGAAGAGGTAATGAAGATATAACTGTGCTTGAGTGAGGCTTAGAAAATTTCCCCAATCACTAGTTATGTGCTAACTTAGTGATCTAAAATCATGAGTAGGACTGCCTTAGTTTATAAGGAATGGTGCTGATATATAAAGTCTAGGCCTTTTATAGAAATTACTTGTAAATTAAATTTTAAAAGTACCTAAGAGTTTTGAAACACAGTTAGATGATATAGCTGACTTCATTCCCCAGAGTAGAGGAAGATTTCTGAACTTCCAGTTTCATTATAGTGGGAAAGTGATGATTAAGAAGCTTCTTAATAAACAATTAACTCTGGGAATGGATGTACACATGGGATCAACCAGCACCCACTTATTCTCTCCTGATACAGATATTTGTCTCTACATGGTTTTAACCAAGCATTTAATCATAATTTATCCTTGAAGATGGAGGTGCTGATTTATGGTTGTGTTTTATGAATAATAAAAAAGAACATTAATCCCTGAACAAAACAACTTACTGCGTCACAGCTTTCATTTAAATTATATAGTTTTAATTAAATTTTTTGAGGCAAATGAAACATTTACACCAAGGTATCTATATTACGAGAAGAGAAAGTAATAGAGTTAATGATTCTTTGCCTAATTTTCGGAAGTAAAAACTTACCATACTATTCCTTGAGCTCCTGAGCCTATAGGTTTTAAATTCTGATATCGTTTCAGGACTGTGAATGTAGAATCTCCAATCTCTACACTATAAAAATTGCTGTCACGCTTACTTCTGCTCATGATGGCAAGCAATTAATTTAATGGCTTCATCCAAAAATTCACCAAGAAGCTGCAAAATGGAACAAAATATATTGTTAACAAAATGAATTCATGCAATCTTAAAATTCAAGTTCTCACTCGCTCACTAAAGGTAACATTAACTGCTAGATCATGTTAAATGGGCTACTTCTTTAAAGAAAAACATTTAGAAAGAAAAAATATCACAGAGCCTGGTTAGCATCTGCTATACTTAAGGAAATAACTGATAATTGAAAAAAAAAACCCACAAAATTTTTACTAGAATAAACAGTATCTCCAATCTAGAAATCATTGGTATTAATATGCAAACTAGTACATGTCTTAACTTACTGGAAAACTGGAAAAAGAAAGTAAATTATAAGTAGACATATTTTCAAGGCCACTTCCACAGTATACAATTTGAAAACAGTCCTTTTCTTTTTTATAAATATATCTTTATTGATTTCGGAGAGGAAAGGAGAGGGAAAGAGAGAGAGAAACATCAATGATGAGAGAGAATCACTGACTGCCTGCCTCCTGCACATCCTCTACTGGGAATCGAGCCCTCAACCCAGGCATGTGTTCTTGACCAGAATCAAACCTGGGACCCTTCAGTCCGCAGGCTGACGACATGCATTCCACTGAGCCAAACCAGTTAGGGCTGAAACCAGTCCTTTTTATGTGTTTGTTATAGAGTACTGAAACTGTAATTTTTGTGAGAAATTGAGAAACTTTCATTCGAAAATAATTCACAATCTCATTTAGTGTCACCCGGGAGGATGACAGATGCCCATGCGAGTAAGCTGGTTAGCACGTCTCACCCTGCCTAACACAGAGCAGCACAGCGCTGTCCCCACAAGAGCCTGTCCCTGCAACATCCAGTAGTGACACATGCAAAGTTGTAATGGTTGAAAGAATGGTTGAAAGAGGTAGAAAAATAAGAAGATATAAGATAATATTACTTTAAAAATGAGAAAATATGAGAGAGAGAGAGAAGCATCTACTATATTAGGGTACAACCGTTTGGGGCATCAAAAGCATGACCTAAGTTCTGGCCACAGCTCTTTCTCTCTGCCTGATTAAAAGCCAGGCAGTCCCTCTCTACCCATTTGAGTATTGGTTATTAATAAGCCTATTTTCCATCCTTACTGGATGAAAGTAGCCTAAAACAAAAGGCATGCCGTAAGTCAGCTCCAACCTATTCCCCACGTACCACAATAAACCAAGGAATCAGTCAGGTCTACAGAATCACTGTGTGTGTGTGTGTGGCGGGGCGGGGGGGGGGGGGGGAGGGTGGTGGTGGTGGTGGTGGTGGTGTGTGTGTGTGAAGGAGGAGTTGTAAAACAATGCTAACAAAAGAAAAATAACGTCCTGATAAGACTTACAAGACAAAGAATTAACTCAACAAATATGAAGTGCCTACCATATGCTAGGCACTTAGCACTGTGCTGTGCCTACCATGTGGAGGCTAATGAATGAAATGGATTCTAACAGCTGAATGCTGAGAGAAGGAGGAAGCCGCTGGAAGGTGGGAGTAAGAGAGTTGGAAGAGGGAAACTAGTAATCTATTGCAATGATCCAGATGATAGAGAATTTTACAATTAGTGAGGATTCTTAGATGTGATGGAATTAAAAAAAAACAAAAAACAGTAAACAAAAAAGTCCAAAAAATATAGGCGTTAAAAAAAAAGACAAATTGCAAGCAACTAAAGAGTTGGATAAATTAAAGAAAGACCCAGAGAAACATTTCCATAATCAATAACTAAACTAGTCATGTAATACTCGAGAGGACTGTCTGGAATGGCAACACTCATAAATTCTGCCTAAGTAGGCAGACCAGAGGCTTAAAGGAAAGAGTTGGTAATGATTTCAACACCTTGTTCACAGATGACCCAATATGGGTACTGGTCATCCAGACCAACTTCCACCTTAATTTGGATTCCCTCCTTACCTACCAGAAGGGAAATAGGGAGGAAGGCAGAAGTGAGAAGAGGAATGCAGGAAAGTGTCAGGCCCTTCATCAAATATTCTCCATATTTATCCTGGAAACTGAGGCTGCCTTTGGCCCGGAAACAACTACAATGGTCTCCAGTGATCTACACGTGAGCTCCAAGGCCGAGCCCAGAGCAGCTGATGATGGGTGAACCTCAAGTAGCCAGACTGTGTGCCGATCAGACTTTCTAAGCTCCATGGAAGACATGACCCCTTCTCCTTAGGGAGAGAGGATCAGAGAGGAGGAGGTACTCTTGGTGCCTCACCAGTTTACTTACTGTTACCAGAGCAGGGAATAAAAAGGCTGTGTTTCAGATTCCAACTTGCTGGAAATAAAGAAAAAGCATAGAGCCAGGATCATATGCAGGACAGGTCTCCCTGTCTGTTAAAAGAGTAACAATAGCAAGGAGAGGCTTCTTTCTCAGAAGAGGGGTCTCAGAAAAGGGTGGTCCGACATCAGGAGTGGGGTCCATGGTGCTCACACAGAAGTCTGGACAGACCTGTGACAGCAGCTGAGCAGTGACAGCCACCAGACCCTCCAGGCACAGTGCAGCAGGAGATGGATGACCAGGTTAGGGAGCAGCCTGCCCAGGAGCCACAGCTGCCACTCAGGACAGGAGACAGAGCACGTGACTCACTCAAGCCCAGGTGTAGAATGCTTACTGGGTGCCTGAGTCAAGCTCTGGGCTGGTACTGTGAACATAGCAGTAATCCGCATCTGCCCTCCAGACCATGCAGTTAGACAAAGAGAGACATTCAGTTGTGTAGTAACTGTCTGGCTGAAACTATGGCATGAAAACAGCAATGAAGGCAATGGAAGCAAGCCCACACTAGTCTGGTCTCAGGAAAAGCTTCATTCCCCTAATGAGGTAATATTTGAGCAAGATCTGAACACTGAGTATGAGGTAACCAGGCAGGGAGAGAGAAGGGAGCTTTCTAGGCAGAAGAAAAAGCACATGCAGAGGCTCTAAAAATTCACCCACTTTCACAGCGCAATGGATGAGTTTTGATAAATGTGTACAACCCTGTAACCACCATCAAAATCACGACATAGAATATCTCTATTCCTGCAAAAGCTTCCCCGGTGGCCAATCCCTGCCCTCTATTCCTAACCATCCCTGGCAACCAATAAGTGGCTTCGCTGTGCCTTTTCCAGATCTTGATACAAGTGAACATCACACAGCATGATTTTTTTGCCTGGCTTCTCACTTGCCCAGATGTGTTTAAGAGACACCTATGCTGTGCTTTTTTGTATTACTGAGTAGCATTCCATTGTGAGGACATACCATTTGGACACATGGACTGTTTCCATACATACATATATATGGCACAGCTACTTAATTCTCTTGCCCATATTGTCTTCTTGTTGTTCAATTATAATATTTATATATCCTGGATATACATCCTTTATCAGATGTTTTGCAAGTATTTTCTTCCAGTCTATGTGGCCTGCCTTTCCATTTTGTTAACAGTGTACTTTTTAAAACTTTTCAGTTGAAATAATTTTAGACTCATGTACAGGTTGCAAAAATACTTCTGGGGATTCTTCACCCAATGACAGCATTTGACATAACGATTGTACCATTATCAAAATGAGAAAGTCTGCACTGGTACAATACTATAAGCAAACTTTATTCAGATTTTATGCATACATTGATTTTCTGTAAATTTATCACATACACATATTAATGGGAACTACATCTCAGCCAGGATACAGAACTCACCCCAAAGAGAGTCCTTCATGCTACCTCTCTATAATCATATACTGCTGCCAATTATGTTTTCATCACTATAATTTGTTTCAATTAAAATTTTATATAAACAGAATCACATAATATGTAATCTTTTGAGACTGCCTTTTTCAATCAGTATAATGCCATTGAGATTCTCCAGATTGGTGGAATATTGATAGTTTGTTCTTTTCTTACAGAATATTATTCTGTTGTATGAATGTAGCTTTGTTATTAATTCACCCTTTGTTTTGCCCATTACAAATAAAGCTATTTACTATGAACCTGCCTACAGATTTTTCTGTGAAAATAAGCTTTCATTTCTTTAGGGTAAATGTCCAGGAGAAGGATATGGCAGCTGCATGTTTAACATTTTAAGAAACTGGCAAACTTTTCCTAAAGTGGCTGTTACAACTTTGCATTCCCACCGAAATGCATGAAAGATCTAGTTCCTCCACATCCTATCAACTCTTATTTAAGACAGTGCAGTTTATTTTAGCATTTCTAACAGGTTTTGGATAGACAGATAAATGGATTATATAACTATCTCATCAGGACTTTAGTTTTTTATTTCTCTAATGGATAATAACATTAAACATCTCCTTATGTACCTTTCCCAGCTGTATGTATATTTTTGGTGAAGTGTCTGTTTAAGTGTTTTGCTCATTTTCTAATTGGGTTGCTTGATTTCCTATTGTTAAGTGTAGAGAGTTTTTTTTTTTTTTTTTTAATGTTCTGGATATATTCCTTTATCAGACACACAATTTGCAAATAACATTTGGCCCCTAAACAACATGGGTTTGAACTGTGCATGTTCCCTTACATGTGGATTTATTTTCAATAAATACCTATATTGTTTTGGATCGGAGGTTACATGGTCCTGGATACCAAAACAAAGATGTTTTCGGGGAGTCAAAAGTTATATGCACCAGCCCTGGCCAGGTGGCTCAGTTGGTTGGAGTAGTGTCCCATACACCAAAAGGTTGCAGGTTGGAGTCCTGATCAGGGAGTATATGGACAAGGATTAAAAAAAGTTATATGCTCCCAACCCCCATGTTATTCAAGGTCAAATGTATTTTCTATTTGTGGTTTCTCTTTTCTTTAAAAATTTTTTTCAATTACAGTTTACGTTCAATATTATTTTATATTAGTTTTGGATATACAGCATTATGATTAGATAGTTATATATTACAAAGTGATCCCCCCAATATGTCTAGTACCTACCTGGCACCATACATTACATTATTAACTATATTTGCAAAGTTGCACTTTATTTACATTCTTGTAACTATTTTGTAACTACCAGTTTGTACTTTTTAATACCTTCACC